ATATATATGTATATATGAAACATATATCAAAAATGCATGTGGGTACTCAAATGAAAGCTCTTGAAGAGTGTAACACCAAGATGAGCTTATATCTTAAAAAATGTCAATATTTAAGAAAGTACAGTGCAATTTAACTAAATTCATTAAAAAAAAAAAAATATTAAGTACCTGCGCGAGCCAAATCCCATCCCAAGGCGCTCCGCTTGGCTAGCTTTCTTGGGGTCCATTTTTTTAGTACGCTCGTTCACGAGCTTCGCCTGTTCCGTAAGATTCTGCTCCATTTTATAAGCCAACCGGCTGTTTGCTTCTGATTGGTCCTCTTCTGTTTCCGGTTCCTTAATAACAGCCGCCTGAGACTCCGCGACTGACTTTTCCAGCTCGTCAAAGTTTGTCGTCACTCTCTGGGCTCCCATTCCTCCGGCTTTCTTTCCTAACTATTAAAAAAATAATTAATTAAAATTAAAAAATTAAATACTAAAAATTTTTTAATTAAAAAAATTTACCCCAGGTTTCTTCTGCTGAACTTTCCGTCCTCCAATAGTTGATTTAAAATTACCACCTCCAGATCCTTCCGATAATTTAACAGTAGGTCCCATAGAATTAATTAATAAATCAACATCTTTATCCTTATCCTTCTCTTTCACCGGCTCTATCGTAGGAGCCGCCATTTTGAGGCTAGGAGCCGCCATCTTGTTAAGCTCCTCAAAAGATTCGTGCTCGGTGAAGAAATCAACCTCTTCTTTGTCTTTTTCTTGACATTTATTCGACTCGCTTTCATCAATGTGCAGCTAAAATTAATTAGTATATTTATTTATTTATTTATTTATTTAATATTATTTTTTTTACCTGTTAATTAACACACATTTAATATTTTTATCTTAAAAATTAAAATTCTAATTTATAAATTAAATTTCAACTTTATTAATGCTTTAAATATTGTTAAAACAATCAAAATAATTAATTTTTTAATAAGTATGATATGTACAACAAAATGGCCGATGAATTATTTGAATTCAAAATGGCCGAGCGCGGGAAAATTTAAAAATGTAAATTTTATTTTTTTAATCATTAGTCAAGTAATAAATGAATTATTAATTTTTTTTTTTGTTAATTAATTTAACACACACTTAACATTTTTTTCTCACCATTTTAATGTCATACGCTGTAATTATAACCTACAATTTAAAATTTAAATATAGATTGTGTAGATTTAAATATATTTATGTTAAGATAAAATAAAAAAAAAATTTTTTTGAGATTTTAAAGGGGGAATTTTTAATAAAATGTAAAAAAAAATAATTATTAATTATATTACCTTGGTACCGTAACGTTTCATTGCTTGATTAGAAGCTTGAGCAAGTTTTTCCCGGTATTGCATCGCGGTACGGGATTTGTATTTGTGTTGGGCGTCTGTGCTTGTACAATTGTGTGATGAAAAAAATGATCTCTGAAATTTTTTTAAATATTTTTTTAATAATTTTAATAAGAAAAAAAAAATAAAATTTATTATAAATTTCTAAGACTAAAAAATAATTAATTTAACTTACTGCGTGAGCATTTCCTCCCAATTGCATATTCCGCAATTGTTGCCATGTCCAATTAGTGTCTAATTGAGAAGATCTTACAAATGTTAAATGAACTCCTAAGCTTCGGTGAATTGCGGAGCAATCAATGCACAAAAATACTCCGTAGGTTACACTGCACCAAGCTGGGTTTTTTGCATTGCAGTCAAAGCATGTCTAAAATATTTTTGAAAATAATTATAATAATAATCTTAATTATTTAATTTTTAGAAATTTAAAATTTATTATAATTAAAATTGTTAATAAAAATTTTGACATTTAAAAAAAAAACAATTTTAAATTGTAAAAAAATATTTTAACACTTGAAAAAAAATTCTTAAAATTTTTGACACTTAAAAAAAATTAAAATTTGTAAAAATAAATTATCAAAAATTAAATTTTGAAGGAATGTCATTCATAACCTGAAACTTATAAAATTCACTGATTAAAAATAAAAAAAAATAATTAAATACTAAAAAATTACCAAAAATAATTTATATTAACTCACTAATAATTATTAAAAAAAAAAAAAAAACTAATTATTGATTAAAAATTCGGAGATAATTATGTAAATATGTGAGGCGTGTCAGGAGTGTGATCAAAGATGAGCATGTTGACATTTTTTACCCATAGTTTTGATGAATTAAATGACTCTTGAAGTGAATTTTGTTAGAAAAGTAATTAATTAATATATTTTTGATGTAAAAACTCACTTTGTTTGAAGAAATAGCACGCAAACGTTTAAAAACTTCCTCAATTTCGGTCTTTGTTGGAGATGATTCTGCCATTTTTAATAATTTTGACGTGTAGACGTGTTGTCACTCTGCTACGAGGTCGCTTTGTTTTTTTTTATCGCTATTACGCATGACTGTTTCCGTTTTTAGAACTTGTCAGTGCTGCGCTCTGGCGTAGTAATTTTAAAATTTTTTTTTTAAATTTATAAAAATAAATTTAGTAAAAAATTTTTTTAACAAAAAAATTTGTTAAAAAAATTGCATTTTTTTAATTTATTAAAATTTTTACGTGAATTTTTCTTGCCTATTAAAATTATTATAAAGTACATGGAAAGTGTACACCAGGGGTAGGGTTGGAGTGGGAGTACATGGAAAGTGTACACTAGGATGGGGGTTGAAGTGGGGGGTTGGAGTGGGGATTAGAGTGGGGGTACCTGAAAGGGTATATAGGGAGAGTTAACTACCCTGAGGAGCTGAGTTCCCGGATTGCCGGCCAAGGGTGCACATCGCGCAATGATGTTGTAAACTTTGCCAGTCGTCCAAATTATCCCCTCGATTATTAGTGGTTTTCTTGTTTCTGTGTTTAACATAGTTATTTTTTTTTTAATTATAAAGTGTTAACGTAGAGTCATATTCGCGGTAGTTCTCAGTGTTTTCATTAAACTCTCATCATTATTCTGTCAAATTGATTCGCGTTTTGATTTTTTACACTAAATTAAATTAAATTCACGCGCATACACACTGACCATACAAACACACACCTTACCTCACTTCTTACCCACGTCTATCTCTTTCTTTTTTAACTTTTTCTTCACGATCGGTTTCCATTTAGATTTTAGAGTCATTTGTATAAAAATTAGCTTCATCCCTTACTCACATACACACACACACACACACACACACACACTTCCGGCTCTTTCTAATAGAAGAGTACTCTTCACACACTCTTTTAGGAAGAGCTTTCTTACTTCCCTTCGTTCGTTTGCTCAAATTAGATTCACGCGTCATCGTATTCACAATCAGTTCGGAGGTTCTTTTTGCGTTAATTTCAATTAATAAATAATTCAACGGGTAGTTATAGCGTAGAGTCAGCCGTCTCGGTGAATTTTTACAAGGCGCGAAGTATCGTTGCTTGATGATGGTGCGCAACATCATCTTGCATATAAGATCGTCCTGGGAAAGCAAATTAATTCAGATCTTAGCGAATTAATTAGGGATTAATCATGCTCACCCCTTGAGTGCCCGGGCGCAATCTGGGTGACGGTTTAATCCCTTTTTAATTTTCTCTGATCAATTCTTTTGGTTTCCAAGTCTTAAAATTTATCGAAACGGCAATATTAAAATTAAATAAAATAAAAAGTAAAGTTTTGTTGCTAACTAGCCCGTTTTGCCTCGCGATTAGTTCTTTTAGCAATGATAATTAGGTAGGATACCATCGAGCTGATTTCGCGGTCTTCTCGGTCCCACCCTATCTCTCTCTCACACACACACACACACACACACACACACACACACACACACCACCCCTTTTTGTTGATTAAATAATAAATAGTAAAGTAGAGGCATTAATTTTCATCGGAAACCTATATCGTGCCTACTAGAGTCACTTCTTTTCTTCTTACGTTCCCTTGTCGTGAGAGCCAACTCAGACAAGACCACCCCTTACACTAACATATACACCGGTTACCGTAGATTTTTTCTATAATTAAATTCATTGATAATTAATAAATAAATAAATTAGAGGCACATACAATCGACCTGCAAAAGTATTTGACACTACTTTTTGCATTCAATTCGTTGTCTTTTTTGTTTCTATTTTAGTTTTGCGAATCAATTTGACATTCATCATCAACCTCATTATTTGACATTGAAAATTACCGCGAATTATTTTTAATTAGTTCGTTTTGAAATCGTTAATTTGATTCTTTTAATTAGTATTACAAATTAGTTAGTTTAAAATCGAGGGGGTATAAAAAGGGGACAGTTAATCCGTTTTTTTTTAGTGTGTTTCAGGTTTCAGCAAGTGCCAACAGGAGGAATAAAGAAATCCAGCCAAGGACCAAATGTAAGTCTCAAGAGAAATTAATATAATGATTATAAGCAGTGTTTAAAACGTGTAACTTATCAATGTGGTTTTGTGGTTTGTTCAGACGGAGGGACCAAGAATCAAGGACCAGGGATCAAGGACCAAAGGACCAAGGATAAAAGGATCAGGGAATTCAAGGAAGCCAAGGACTAGGAAGCAGTGTAGCCAAAGGATTTACCAAGGAGTAAGATGATTCAACCAAGGATTCAATGTAAGAGTTACTGAAAAATCAACAGTGAATGTTATCAGTGTTTAAAAGTGATATTGAACATATTATTATACTAATCAGTGATTGTGTGGTCTATCTTCAGGTGGCCAAGGACCAAGGACCAAGAATAGAGGATTCCAATCATCGCAGCCAACAATAAAGGATAAAGGACCGAAGGACCAAGGAAAAAAGGATCAAGGACCAAAGGACCAAGGATAAGAGGATCAGGGAATTCAAGGAAGCCAAGGACTAGGAAGCAGTATAGCCAAAGGATTTACCAAGGAGTAACATAATTCAACCAAGGATTCAATGTAAGGATTACTCAAAGATTAACAGTGAATGTTATCAGTGTTTAAAGTGATATTGAACATTATATTACTAATTAGGGATTGTGTGGTGTATTTTCAGATGGAAGGACTAAGGATAGAGGATTCCAATCATCGCAGCCAACAATAAAGGATCAAGGACCAGGAATAAAGGACCGAAGGACCAAGGATAAAAGGATCATCAAGGAACTCAAGGATTCAGTCAAGGACCAAGAAGCAATCAAGGATGCAAGAATTCAAGGATTCAAGAGGAAATTCAAGGACAGGACCAACCAAAGGATCAAGAGGACAAGGAAGACTCATGGAACAAGAGGATCAATCAACGCGCCAATTTCAAGCCAGGACCAGGAGCAACAGGACACGTTATATTATTTGTATATTCAATTATTATTTCAGCTTCCTTAAATTTATCCCGGCGACCTAATTAATATTATTAGGAGTAATTTTATTTATTTTTTATTAGCAACTCTTCATTCATTAATCCTCAATAATTTTAATAATAATAATTTAATCCCATTTTTCAGGATCCCTCATTTCTTAACCCCTAATAATTTGAATATTAATAAATTTATTTTACTTTTCAGCACCCCTATATTTTTCAACTCTCAATAATTTTAATAATAATATTTTTATTTTATTTTTCAGCACCCCTAAATATTTTGAATCCCCAATAATTTTAATGATAATAATTTTATTTTATTTTTCAGCACCCCCAATTGTAAAATCCCCAATTATTTTAATAATCATAATTTTAATTCATTTTTCAGCACCCCTAAATTTCTTACCTCCATTAATTTTAATGATAATAATTTTATTTTTCAGCACCCCCAATTGTTAAATCCCCAATTAATATTTTAATAATCATAATTTTGATTTATTTTTTAGCACCCCTAAATTTCTTACCCCCAATAATATTAATAATAATAATAATTTAATCCCATTTTTCAGCACCCCTCATTCTTTAATAACCCCTAATAATTTTAATATTAATAAATTAATTTTACTTTTCAGCACCCCTATATTTTTCAACCCTCAATAATTTTAATAATAATATTTTTATTTAATTTTTCAGCACCCCTTATTTTAAAATCCCCAATAATATTGATAATAATAATTATATATTTCATTTTTCAGCACCCCCAATTGTTAAATCCCCAATTAATATTTTAATAATCATAATTTTAATTCATTTTTCAGCAGCCCTAAATTTCTTACCCCCAATAATATTAATAATATTAATTTAATTTTTTTTTATTCTAGCACTCCTTTATATATTTACCCCAATAATATTATTACATTACCTCCCAAAATATTAATTTTTCTTTTCTATTACATATCATCATTCCTCTATATGCCTATTGATGAATCTCATAATATTATTAATTATTATTTTTTTCTGTTTCAGCGCCCGTCCATATTAATTAATCTTCTCACCTTAATTAATATTTGCAACACTAAAAAATGTTATAGCGGTATAATATTGTTTGTATGAGTGTAATGATTATTTGTATGTGTGATGTGTGCTGTGTCCCATATTTTTGAGCCACTTTAGGTGGTTTAATTATATAATTAATGTAAATAATATATGTAAGCTGTGTCGGCCAGGTTTCCCTGGGGTTTCCTAAAAATTTGGCTCTGTAAAACCAAACGAAGGCCGGTACAATTAATATCGTTACCGGTTAACGATATTAATTGTAAGTGAATGCGCACAGTTGCGTCCCCAGTCGCGTAATTTTTTTTTTTTTTTATTCAATAAAGCGAATTATTTCGCCCTAACGAATAAAATTGTGACTTATTATTTGGCTCATTCCTTTCCTTTAATTTTAATTAGACTTTAAGTAGATTTAAGTATCGTCACTACAATTTTTCTGGTGCAGCTCATGGGTTCTTACGGTAATTATATACTTAATAATTATTAATAGAATTTAATATAGAAAAAAAGTCAATTAAAGAATAATTAATTATCTAAATAATTAAAAAAAATTATTTTAAAAAAAAAAGTAAAATTTTAGTAATAAATAAACAATTAATATTTAGAAAATAAAAAATAAAAACGCGTTTTAATGAATAATTTATTTATAAAATTAATAGAAGCATAAATATAATTAATTACTATTTTTTTAATTAAAAAACTTTTAATTCACTATAATTTATTTATTTTAAATTTTACGCGCGTTTTTTTATTAAGACCAGTGCTGCCGCGGCAAAAGTAAGAAACATTCAAAAATCCGGCGGCCATAATTGTTTTTTTATAAAAAATGTCAGAGGCAGTAAATAAAGTAAATAATTATTGTTTAAATTAATAAAATTAATTTAATGAGTTTTTATTGTTAATTATTGTACAATTTAATTGTTAATAAATAATTAAATACTCTTTTAGAATTTTAAATTTTAAAAAATAAACTAGTCCCGCGCTCTGGCGGAATTTTAGAGAACTATTTATTGTTAAACAGCCAGCTGGCAGGCTCGCGTCATGAAAACATGAAAAAGGAGATAAAATTACAAATTAAATAAAAAAAATAAAATTATTTTATTAATTAAGGTTATGTGAGTATTTATAGAAAGTTAAACGACCCAAAAATAACTTTTTTCATTATTATAATATATAAACAAATAAATTGTTTGAAATTCCTCCGGTAAGTTGTCAATTTTTATTATATTATTATAATAATATTTATAAGAATAATTTATATTGATAATAATAATAAAAAATGTTAAGTGAAATGAAAATTAAAAAAAAAAAATTCAATTTTTTAAAAATAATTTTTTTATTAAAAAAAAATTAAAGTGACTTAATTAATAAATTATTTTAGATTTTTTTTTTGTTAAAAAAAAATCGAAAATGGGACAAACTCTGAGCGAGCCAGTGACAACAAAACAATCAGCATGTTGCCGGGATGAAAATTACCTGGTAGGTAGCTCAAGCATGCAAGGATGGAGGGTCAAGATGGAGGATTGCCATGTCCATATTCTTTCCCTTCCTGAAGACCCTGGGACTGCCTTCTTTGCCGTCTACGACGGCCATGGAGGTAAAATTTATTATTTTAATTGAAGTTAAAAAAATTTTTTAGTCTCAATTTTTTTGTAATTATTTATTTATTTATTCATTGTTTAATGTATAATTATTTTGGAACTTATTTAGCTTTAGCTCGAGCAATGCATTTGAGGATCACAATGAATAATACATTGAGCCATTTTTTGAGCTGAAAAAAATTAATTAATTAAAATAATTAAATAAAAAAAAAATTCTAATCTAAAAATAAAATTAGTAAAAATTTTATTTTTTTTCAAGTCCAAAAAAAATTTTTTTTTTACAAGTCAACTTATTTTTGTATCAAACGTGGAGAAATGTAAAAAAAATTATTTTTGGACTAATATATTAATTAAAATATTGACTTTAGGAAAAAATCATAAGAATTCAAAATTATAGCTTAGGAAATTTTTTATAAAAAAGGTTTTTATACTACAGGTCTATCTTTAATATTTTAAGAGATATATGAATTATTTTAAATAAAAAAAAATTGTTCATTATCATTATAATTGTAACTATTATTTTTTTTTAAGAATAATTTTAATACTTACTTCTGCTGGGATGTATTTAATGATCTCAGCGATGTTCCCAATAATCGTTTCTAATACTTTAGTCAATTCCATAATAACTTCTTGCTCAATTAATTGTTTGTTGACGCTGTGGCTAGAATTTTCAGGACTGCTTGTATTATTTTGCTGTGCCTTTAATACAAAATAAAAATTTAATTATTTAAAAACAAAAAAAATTATAATTGTTAATTAAAAATTGCACCAAAATTTAACTTAAAAAAAATAATAATTTTATTAGAAGAAAAATATATATTTTACAAATTTTTATTTAAAAGCATTGCTGGTTTAATTATATAATAATGAAAACTTACATTAACAATTGCACAAATTAATAAAACAGTCAATAATATATAAATTATTGATTTATCCATTTTTATAAATATTTTATAAAATTTCTAAAATAAAATTTAAACACGTGGTCGTACAAAAATACACTGTAATTATGGTTGGAAGTTATTGCTGCTGCAGGTAATTAGAGACTGAGGGGACTGAGGGTTGTACGATGAAATTTGAAAAGAAAATTTCTTTATAACTCCAGGTATGAATTGTAGCAAAATTTCCCCTTTAAATATTAGAAACTCATTAGCTAATAACTATACTAAGTGCAATAATAATTTTTAAAAGAATAGGCGGCAAAATTTTGAATTGAAAAAAAAGTTATGGTGATTTTTATAGTACCTAAATAATTATTAGGAATTAATTTATTAATTTTTAATAAAAATTTTTTTTTTTTTACTTGACAGTTTTTAATTACATATTTATTTTTTTTTTAGGAGCAACAATGTCCCAGCATGCCGGAAAACATTTGCATGATTATATTATAAAGACACCGGAATATAAACAAGGAAAAATAGTAGAAGCTATGGAACAAGGATTTTTGCAATTAGATGAAGCTATGCAAGCAGACACTGTTTTAAGAGCCGAACGTGCTGGGACTACAGTAATTGCAATCCTTATTAAGGATAATGTACTTTATAGTGTAAGTAATTTGTAATTTGTAATTTATTGACAAGGCCGTAGAACAAAGTCCTCTAACGGGCTAAAGATAATACAAAGGATATGTCTCAACGTCAATTAATATTGAAAAGAAAAAATAGTCAAATGAAAAAGTAAATCTTAATTGGACAAATTATCACAATAAAATCAAGAGAGTTATCTTTGCACAGATAAAGTAAGACACTTTAACCATTGTTTTTACTTATGTAATTTAATTAATTAACTTTAATAGCAATAGATTTAATAATTATTATATCAACCTTTAAATATCTACAAAATTATCCTAAAACCCATTTGGACGTACGGCATACAACTATGGGGAACGGCCAGCAACTCAAACTTAGAAATACTACAAAAATTTCAAAATAAAACAATTAGAAACATTGTCAATGCCACCTGGTATGTATCCAACGCAATAATAAGCAGAGACCTGAGCATCCCGACCATCAAGGAAGAAATTATGAGACTGAGCGTGAAATACGAAGGCAGACTAGAAAACCACCCAAATCCTATGGCAACAGAATTACTAAACAAACAGACAACTAGAAGACTAAAACGGTTCAAAACAATTGATTTAAAAAATCGTTTTCAATAATATCAGTGGACATTGTCCTAAATACCCGTCATGTACATAAAATCACAAAAATTATTTAATGTTATCAAATAACAGATTGTAATTTAAATATATAATAAAAAATTAAAAAAAAAAAAAATATCAACTTAAAAGCAACAAGTCGAATGTACTATTGACAGGTCTTTGTCATGAAATATCAAAAATTGTGATTATTAACAGATTTAAATAATAAAATTAAATAGGGTGTCAATAATAGGTCCTTTTACCTTATTTAATTTCTTATAAAACTTTTGTTTCTTTAATAATTAAATTTGTCTTAAATTAACTAATGTAAATTTTTTTAGGCAAACGCTGGAGACAGCAGAGCAATAGCCTCCGTAAACGGCTACCTAGTTGAGCTGAGCCGTGACCACAAACCCACATTGGAGGACGAGCGGAAGAGAATTGAAGCCGCGGGTGGTTGGGTGGAATTCAACCGCGTAAATGGTCATCTTGCGCTTTCCCGGGCTCTGGGTGACTTTAAATTCAAGTGGAACAACACTAAGACTGCCGAAGAACAAATAGTTACAGGTAATTGTTAGGATTTAAGAAATTGGGTAAGGTAAAAGATACCATTAGTGGCACTATAACCAAGGGGATTAACAAAATGATTTTTTTATTATAGTTAAAGTACAAATATTTAATTTGTTTTGTACTTATTGCCTTCATAAATGTTTAAACTTACATAATTAATTTTAATTTTATTTTTAAAATTCAAATTTCCCGCTTTAAACATTCTAGAACCTCTAAATAATTAAATTAACCCCGTTAAAACCTTCTAAAATCTCCAAATATTTTTTAAATAATTCCTGAACCTCCTTAAGACCTATTTCTTCTTGCTAGAATTTTTTAAACCTTCCAAACTCTTCAAAATTTCCTTTTTTCAACTTCTAGAATCTTTTTTAAAACTTGTTTATTTTTAAAATTCAAATTTCCCGCTTTAAATTTAAATCTCCTGCCTTGAACATTCTAGAACTTCAAAATTATTAAATTTACAATGGAAAAAGGGCACATAAATTATTTGAATTGTTATTTTAAACATCATTTTATTTTCAGCATTTCCTGAAGTACAAAAATTTGAAATAAACAAAGATTGGGAATTTATTGTCCTTGCCTGTGACGGAATTTGGGACGTAATGACCAGCCACGAGGTATTAGACTTTATCAGGAACTACATAGCGACTCAATATAACGTTAACGAGGACTCGCATCCTCGGAGTCGTGATTCTAGTATCGAAGACTATTCAGAGGATTCGGACAAAGGAGGGAAGAAAAATTTGGAAAAAGCTACTGTGGACCCGGAGTTAATTTGCGAGGAGCTGTTGAATCATTGTTTGGCTCCTGACGCACTCATGGGAACTGGCTGCGATAATATGACGGCTATTGTCGTCTGTTTGCTCCATGGAAAGCCTGTTTCTGATTTGATACTTCGCTGTCAGAGGAAAAGCCATGACACGGAAAATTTATTACATATCAATAGGTAATTTTTTTGTTTTTATAATAAAATATTGATTTTAGAAAAAAATTATGGGACCTAAATTGTAGCTTAGGAAATTTCCTATAAAAAAACGTTTTTATACTATGGGTCTATCTTTAATATTTTAGGAGATATAACTAAAATAAATTACTGCGCATGCGCGACTGCCATTTTGAATCCCTATGCCATCTTGTCAATATTTATTATAATTTTTTTTTTTTTTTTCAGTGAACAAGAGGCAATAAACAATAAAGATGCAAATTAATTAATTAATTCTAAGTATAATGAATGTTAATTAGTATTTATTTGTGTTAATATTTAGTTTGTTGGTGCTTGAGAAGAAAAACTGAACTTTATTTATTTACTTTGTAAAATCAAAATTAATGTATTAATCATGTTGATTTTTTTTTTTTTTGTAAATAAACGTATTTTTTTTTTGAAAATTACCCTTGAATGAAAAAAAAAACAATGTATCTTTAAAAAATATTTTTTTCAAATTTTTTTAATAATTTAAAATGTGTTAAAAATTTCAGAACATTCTAGAACCTTAAATTAATTAAATTTAGCCTTTTTAAACCTTCTAGAAGCTTCAAATAATTTTTGAACCTTCTCTAGACCTATTTCTTCTTCCTAGAATTTTTTAAACCTTCTAGACTCTTTAAAATTACCTTTTTTATAGTTCTAGAATCTTCTTTAAAATTTATTTATTTTTAAAATCCAAATTTCCCGTTTTGAATACAAATCTTCCGCCTTGAACATTCTAGAACTTCAAAATAATTAATTTTACCCTTTTCAAATTTTCTAGAGGCTTCAAATATTTTTTTAATAATTCTTGAACCTTTTCTAGACCTATTTCTTCTTCCTAGAATGTTTTAAACCTTCTAAACTCTTAAAAATTACCTTTTTTAACTTCTAGAATTTTCTTTAAACTTCTTTATGTTTAAAATTCAAATTTTTCCCTTTTAATTTAAAGTTCTCGCACGTGCGCGCCGCCTTAAACAATCTAGAACCTCAAAATATTCAAATTTACCCTTTTTAATCCTTCTAGAAGCTTCAAATTTTTTTTTAAAAATCTTTTTAATAATTCAAAACGTGTTAAGAATTTTTAGAACATTCTAGAACTTTAAAATAATTTAATTTACCCTTTTTAAACCATCTAAAATCTTCAAATATTTTTTAAATAATTCTTAAACCTTCTCTAGACTTATTTCTTCTTACTAAAATTTTTTAAACCTTCTAGACATTTCAAAATTTCTTTTTTTTTAACCTTCTAGAATCTTTTTTAAAAATTCTTAATTTTTTAATTTCAAATTTTCCCCGCTAAAAATAAAAAACTCCCGCGCATGCGCACTGCCTAGTTTCAAAACTGACAACCGACAGTGCACAAGTCCACACATGAACACAACTGTACTGTTGTGTAAGTGATGATGTGTCACATGTACAAAAAAAATAATAATAATAATTAGACACTTGAAATGATCTTTATTATTATTTTTATAATAAATATTAATATTGTAGTGAACGTAAGATGTTTTTATAATATTTATTTTCTACAAATGATTATCTGCTCGCGTTCAGTCGAGTAAAGTCTTAATCACACACCAGCTGTTTTGCTACAAAGTAATAAAAATAAAAATAATTATTTAATTATTTATTAATTAAATTAAATAAATAAAGTTTTTAATTAATTTATAATTTAAAAGAAGAAATAGGTTATGTTGAAGTGTTGACCATGGCCACGGAAAATGACAAGGTTGTTAATAATAATTATCACAATAATAACAGTCACTTTAAAATAGTAAACAAAAATAGTGAGGAAGAAGGTGGTGATGTCATCATGGACAAAAAGCATATCAGGTTCAGAAAGTCTTTTAATTATGATAATGATGATAATGATGATGATTATTGTGGGGTTGGTGATAATTCCCGGGTTCAGGGGCTCAAGATAGCTAATGGTGAGGATGCTAGAGGTAATGATGACAAGGACCTGGTTGATGGTCATGATCAAGGACAGATTAGTGGGGAAGAAAGGAAAGAAAGTCATATTAGAAATGGTAAGTTTATTATTATTATTATCATTTTATTAAGTTACAAATTTTAATAATAACAATAATTTTTAACATTATAATTATCATTATTATTATTTTTTTTAAGTTAAAAATTTTAATGATAATAATAATAATAATTTTTACAAAATTTTTTGGCATTATTATTATTATTATTATTATTATTTTTGTGAAGAAAATTGAAAAATTTTTTTAAAATTATAATTATAGAATTTTTTAGTAAAAAAAATTTTTTTATTAATTTATTATTATTATTTTTTAATTATAATAATTAACTTATTTCTTTAGGTGGATCATTTTTTGATTTTATTAAAACAGAGCTAACGCGAGGTTATGAACTAGAAAATGATGAAGAAAGATTTTCTGCAAGAAGAGAAAAAATATATTCTTTTATTAAAATTCCTAGAGAAGTTGAAAAATTTATGACTTACGGATTCCTTCAGGTATTTATTTATAATTTATAATTAATAATAAATTAAATAAAACAATATACATTTATAATTACGTTAAACAATATAAAATTTTTTTTCTATATTAATTTTGTTATTTTTTTTTTTTTAGTGCGCAGATTCATTTTTATTTGTCTATACATTTCTACCTCTCCGCTTCTTAATGGCAGTCTGGGCGATAATTTCAAAATCCCTCGGTTACTGTTTTGGGTAATTACATAAAAAAAATCATAATAATAATACTAAATTTAAAAAAATTGTTTTTAGTGAAATTTAGTGTCTTGAATTTGTGCACTTTTAAGTCAATTTATTATAAGTATTTTAATATTATCTTTAGATACATAATTAAGAAATGACCTTGTATCTTGTAAACTATTGACATTTTTAAGGATATAAGCTCATCCTGAAGTTACACTCATCAAGACCTTTCATTTGAGTACCCACATCAATTTCAGATAGTAGCTAGTATAATCTAAATTACAATGAGTATAATCCAGATATCACTGAGTATAATCTGAGATTATATACAGTGTCATTTTGTTTTTTTTCGTGTGGATACTCAAATGAAAGCTCTTGACGAGTGTAACATCAAGATGAACTTATATCTTTAAAATTGTCAATATTTAAGAAACTACAGTACAATTTAACAATTTTTCAGAGTTAAATCTACGCGAAAATCCGAGCGATTTTTGCGACCAGCGGAAATCTGCGACCTCCTGAAGGGAATCGTAGTGATAAGCTGCTGCGTTGCGACGACCCACTTCGACACTTCAATAATCTACCACAGGGTGAAGAGTCAGAGTGTGATAAAGCTGTACATCTTCTACAATATGCTGGAGGTCGGAGACCGGCTCTTTAGCGCAATCGGTCAGGACACGATAGATGCGCTGCTATGGACTGCGACCGAGCCGCAGTCGAGGTCCCGCCGGCATCAACATCTCGGGACTATTTCACATTTATTATTCACTGTTGGTTATGTCAGTATCCTTTTATACAAAAATAATATCAATTAATTTTTATTTATTTATAATTTTCCTTAATTTATTTATTAATCAGTATTACATAGTATACTAGTCCTAGTCCAAGCGGCGACATTAAACGTCGCTATTAATAGCAGTAATAAGGCGTTGTTAACAATTGTTTTAGCTAACAATGTAAGTAAAGTATCTATTTATTATTTTTTTTGTTAACAAACAAATTAATAAAAATTTTTTGCAGTTTGTTGAATTAAAAGGAGCAGTTTTCAAAAAATTCGACAAGAACAATTTGTTCCAAGTAGCTTGTTCCGACGTAAGAGAGCGCTTTCACCTCCTGACGCTCCTAGTGGTTGTGAGTCTGCAAACAATGCGGGAATACGCTTGGAAAATTGACCGGCTTTATATATTATTACCAGATTGTTTTGCGCTACTCGCTGCGGAAGTAGTTGTTGATTGGGTAAGAGATTAATTAGTTAAATATTGACATTTTTTAAAATATAAGCTCTTCCTGATGTTGTACTCATCAAGAGCTTTCATTTGAGTACCCACACGGAAAAAACAAGATGACATTGGATATAATCTCAGATTATACTCAGTGATATCTGGATTATACTCATTATAATCTGAATTTTACTAGCTACTAACTGGATTATACTAGCTACTATCTGAAATTGATGTGGGTACTCAAATGAAAGGTCTTGACGAGTATAACATTAAGACGAGCTTATCTCTTAAAAAACTTCAATATTTCACAAGAAACAAGGTAATTTCTTAATATTGTTTCAGATAAAACACGCCTTTATAACGCGGTTCAACGAGCTGCACTCCACAGTCTACAGAGACTACACCTTAAGCTTGGCCTACGACATGGCTCAAACGCGGCAAAAAACGGCATTTTCAGACCCCTCGGACTTAGTAGCGCGTCGGATGGGTTTCATTCCGCTGCCGCTAGGTGTCGCGATGAGCAAAGTCCTGTTCTCGACTCTATCAGCGACCTCTAGGCCGTCGAACATGATTTTATTCCTGCTGGGGTACTTGATCCTGTTCGCATTGAGGATCCTCAACAGCTTGATCCTCCTGGGGCGTGCCTGTGACCTGATTGCCTCCCACTCCGCAGAAACCAGCGACAAGTTCGAGAAGACCAGGAAGAATAACGTCTTCAACAGGACACTCAGTGTCGACCACACCAACATATACTTCCGAAAACACGGCGCGGAATTCCCTCCCGCGCCTCTAATTGTTTTAAATGACAAAGATCCTAAATCCGGCGTCGCCATATTGTCTAACAGCGCCACCAGTTTGACCAGCGTCTGTTTCAACGACGCTCTTAACGCCGAGAAAAAGTCCTGCGAGGCTTCTTTGTCCTGCAATGATGTTAATCAAGAAATCAAACCTGTGGCTCGCGCTGAGAGCGAGCCGCTGCTGCCTTAAGCCTTTTTCGGGAGCTTCAGAGCCCTCTGGCGCCTCAAATAGTCACTTCTGGACCTTGTCGCTTTCCATTATTACTCATCGCTACCTTCTGCACCACATGCAACCCTTTTTTCCGGAATTTTGGTCCTAAACAAAATGGCCGCCAGGCATGAACTCAAAATGGCCGCCAGCGGGAAAATTTGAATTTTTAAAATTATGATTTTGAGATTTATGACAAGAAATTTTTGAAAATATGACTAATTTTGTGTGCCAATTGTTTAAAATTCCCGCCAAGAAGCCATTTTGAAAGCTCAGAGCCGCCATTTTGTTGAGAAAGAATTCTGGAGTTTTTGAGGCGCAAAAAAGGCTCTAGAGACTCGGAAAAAAATACAGTTTATATTATTAGCTAATTTTTTTTTGTTGTAAAGTGTATATATTATATATGTCTATATATATTAATATATTTATATATGTGGGAATTTTTATATTTATAAGTATGTGTTTAACTATAATATTTAATTAAATTTGTTTTTTTTTTTTGAGGATCTTGAGGCTAATTTTTTTTTATACGGAAAGTTTTGTTTGCGTTAATAAAAGATTTATAATAAATACTTTTTTTTTATTGGTAATTTTTTTTTAACCTTATAACAATAATAGCAATAATAATAATTATAATAATAACAATTTTTTAATATATTAAATTAATAATTCAAAATTGAATAACAATAATTTTTTTTATTAAAAAATAAAATAATGATAATATTAATAATAACAATAATAATGATAATAATAATTTTAAAAAATAAAATTAATTTTTCAAAATAAAAAAATTTTTTTTTTTATAAAATAATAAAATAATGATAACAATAATTACTAAATAATAATAATAATAATAATAATAATAATAATAATAATAATAATAACAATCATAACAATCATAACAATAATAATAATAATAATAGTTTAAAAAAATTTTCTTAATTTCCCTGCTAAAAATTAAAAAACTTTTTTTTTAAATAAAATAATGATAATAATAATAATAATAATAATAATTAATAATTAATAATAATAATTTTAAAAAATATTTAAAATTTCCTGCTTAAAAAAATAATTTTAAATTAATTCCAAAATTCCGCCACCAGATGTCACATAAAACCAAAATGGCGACAGTCTAACAATCAGCTCCCAAGTGCTGAGTTTTAAAACAACAACAACCCAGTATTTATCATCACACATTAGACCGTGAATGGAAAACTAATCAGTAAGTAATTAAACTTTACCAATTACTCATTATTTTCAAATAACAACACCAATAATTCCCTTATCTGGACAAAGAAACTGAGGTAATATTGCGCGCTTTAACCAGCTGTCACTTTCTCTCCAAATTTCATCATTATTAAATTTCCCTTTTCTTTTCTAACAATTATATTAATAACAAATAATTTTATTTATATTATCAATTATTAATAATTAATAATTATAAGTATAATAATTATTGTGATAATAATAATAATAATATTTTTTTTTGTTTTAGGAAAGAGTGATTTGTCGCAGGTAATTTGACCTTCAGCTGTTAAGTCTTGTCATTGTTATTGATAGACTTTGTTTGTATACAAGATATAACACACCAAATTGTCAAAAATAATCACGTGCCAGCTGATGCAATTATTTTTAAACTAATTTGTTGCATAAGGGCTCATATTTTTATTTTATTTTTTAAATTTTATTTTAGAAAATTAAGACACTAAAATTAGATAAAAATTTAGTAATTTTTTATTATTTTTACAATTTTTAAAATTAAAAAAAAAAAATAAAAATTTTATAATTAAAAATAAAATCCTAGTATTTTTACAAAAAAAATTATGATATAAATTTTATCAAATTAAATTCTGAAAAATTAATTAATATTTTTAATATAATTTTTATTATTTAAAAATTAATTTATAAAATTAAAAAAAAAATTTGTAACTCCTCCGGGAATCGAACTTACGTCCATCCGCTGTACAGCAATCGGCCTAAAGGCCTGATTGAAGGCCTGCACGAGGTAGCCACTGTACTAGTTACGAAAGAGAGTGTCTTAGAATTTTACTTATTCTTAGAATCTACAACAATTAAATTGATTAAATAAAATTAATATTGTTTTTTTTTTTTTTTTTTTTTAATTAATTTTAGGACAATGGAATCATTTCTGGCACTTTTTGACACTGAGGACGTAAAGTCCAAAAAATGGGACAAGTATAACGGAAACACTGACGTAGAAAGTATGAAAACCGAAGATGACTTAGACTTGGACTGTCTGCCTCCAGAACCCGAGCAGGGTAATATTGAATATAAATTGAAGCTAGTTAATCCCTCGTGTCAGCGATTCGAGCATCTTGTTACGCAGATGAAGTGGCGGCTCAAGGAAGGTCATGGTGAAGCTATTTATCAGATAGGTAAGTTAAAAATCTCTAGATACATAATTACAATTGAGATTTTTAAGAATATAAGCTCGTCCTGATGTTACACTCATCAAGATCTTTCATTTGAGTACTCACACGGAAAAAACAAGATGACACTGTATATAATCCCAGATTATACTCAGTGATATCTGGATTATACTCATTGTAATCTGGATTATACTAGCTACTATTTGAAATTTTTTATGAAAAATTGATGTGGGTACTCAAATTAAAGGTATTGATGAGTATAACATCAGGATGAGCTTATATCTTAAAAAACATCAATATTTAAGAAAGTACACTGTAATTTATTACCTAGGCGTTGAAGACAACGGCAAACTTACAGGCCTATCCCGCGACGAAATGAAAGCTTCCTTAAAAACCCTGCGAGACATGGCGTCGCGCCTTGGCGCGACGACCCGAGTGCTCCGCGAGCGCTCTGCCGGGCCTCAATCAAAGGTCTCACCTCCCCCGGAGCGGCGAGTCGCAGAAGTGATAGTAAAAAAGCTTCGCAAAGGCGACAGAGAGGGCCAGGACATTACTGACCTTCGTTTGGCAGTCGTAGGCTCTCAAGACGCGGGAAAGTCAACGCTTTTAGGAGTTTTGACCCAAGGAGAGCTTGACAACGGGCGCGGAAGGGCAAGACTTAACATGCTGCGCCATCTACACGAGATTCGCAGCGGCAGAACTTCCTCTATCTCCCACGAGATCATCGGCTTCGCTCAAGACGGCCATGTGTTAAATTACGCGGAAATGACAACTGCGGAGGAAATTTGCGAGCATGCTAGCAAAGTCGTGACCTTCATTGACCTAGCGGGGCACCGGAAGTACCTCAGGACAACGCTATTGGGTCTGATGGGGTACTCTCCTCATCATGTGATGCTTGTAGTAGCTCCGCCCCTTAATGAAGCCGCGCAAGAGCACATGGCGCTGTGTCTCGCTTTAAGGTTGCCGTTTTTTATCGTTGTTACTAAAATCGACCTTGGGTTCTCCGAACGGCTGACCTTGGAACAGCTAGAGGGCGCTGTCAGGGCTCAGGGGTGTACTATGCCTCTGCAAGTGGTGAAAAATACTGGGAACTTCAGGAATGAGAGGTGGGAGGGGAAAATTCCCGTGTTTTGTGTCAGCAGTGTCTCTGGAGTGGGACTGGAGGATCTGACGATGTTTATTAGGGACCTGCCTGCGGAACCTTCGGATCTGGAGACGGAGACTGGAACTTGCTTGTTTCAAATCGACGAGACTTTTAAGGTAAGGAAAAATTTAAGTCTGACTCTTAAAATATTGATTTGTATTATAGGCACTAGAAAAGTAGCAATATCTCCTAAAATATTGAGTTTAGGAAAAAATTATAAGAAACCAAAATTGTAGCTTAGGAAATTTCCTACAAAAAACGTTATTATATTATAGGTCTATTTTTAATATTTTAGAAGTTACATGAACATAATTCCTAAAATAATTAATTTTCTAGGTGGCGGGTCTACCTGATCCAGTTCTCGGAGGTCTAATGGTAAAAGGCAGCATCGCTCCAGGATCTCGGCTTCTAGTCGGGCCGCTACCTGACGGTGAGTTCTCGCACGTCCGCGTGGTGAGCCTGCACCGGAACAAAGCTCCCTGCTGCCTAGTAAGAGCCTCGCAGAGCGCGAGTCTCACTCTAGAGGGCCTGGAAGACGCTCTACCACATCTCAGGCCCGGAATGGTTCTCGTTTCAAGCGCGGACCAGCCCCACGCTACTGTCTTCTTTCAGGTAAAAAAACTCCTATACTATTGAATTCTCCTTGAAATTTCTAGAAGTTTGAGTACCCACATGATTTTTTGTAATTTTTCCTGAAAATTTCAAAAAATCATGTGGGTACTCATTTTTTTCAAAAATTTTCTAAAGAATTTAAAAATAATATTCATATTTATGAAAAAATTTTTTTTTTTGCGAATTTTCCGGGAATTTTCCGGAAAATTTCAAAAAATCATGTGGATAGTCATTTTTTCGGAAATTTTCTCTAGAATTCACAAATGATATTAATTTTTTTTTTTTTTTATAAATTTTTCTGGCTCCAGGCGACAGTTTTCGTGGTTTATCACGCAAAAGGAATTTTCCCGGGTTTTCAAGCGACAGTCCACGTCGGTAATGTCCGACAAACTTGTGTAATGGAGGGAATCATGGACGTGAAAGAAGACGGGCTCCAAACAAATGACACCGCCTCGGTGCTGTTCCGGTTCGTGAGCCACCCGGAGTACCTCCACGTCGGGATGCGGCTCCTCTTTCGCGAGGGCAAGACCAAGGGGATCGGTAAAATCACTCAGGTATTTCCGCTCATTGGATCTCAGAATCGACCTTAAGTTTTTTTGTTTTTTTTTTTCCAAATTATTTAAAAATAATTATTAATATAATTAATAAAGATATATTACAAGACAAGTAGTATTTATTGTGAGAAAATATTTATCATAATTACTCAATAATTATGATGGTATTTTTATATATCATTACTGTCTATCAAGTGTTAAGGCCATTGTAAATAGACTAGCTCTAAGATTACAATAAAAAAAAAAAAATTATTCAGAATTTTTGAATTTTTTTTTTTTTATAATTTTTTTTGGATGAAATGAAGTGTGGATGGTTAATGCTGTGATCATTCCGGTTAAAATGAGTACCCACATGACTATATTCCATAAAATTCACAAAAACCGCGAATTAATTCGCGGGTCGCGGATTAATTCGCGGTTTTTCGCGGAATTTATTTATAGGGCTTGTGGGTACTTAAACTTTAGGGAATTTTATAAAGATGAAGGATATATAGGTAAAAATTTCAAAATTTTGAAAATTAAAAATTAAATTGAGGTTTTAATTAGAAATCTAAAAAATAAAAAATAAAATTTAGTTGATATATCAAAAGTAACTTTAAAATTTATCGTAATACTTTTATGAAATAATGTTAGTGCCGGATATTAAAGCGGGCAGGGTAGCTGGCAGAGCGCCATCTACAAAGTTATACACTTAATTCTTCTGCGCTCACACTTCCAACCCGAGAACTTACTGGCGAGTTTAACCGTAATTCAAACAATAATCCAACTCTGCGGTGCGACATATCTCGTAATCAACCCAAAGTTGAATTATCTTCTGGTTGCTACCCAACACCTCCTTAAACTCTTTTAAAACTTTTTTAAAATTTGATTTTTTTTTAATTTCACCTATACTATGTTATTCTACACTAAATTCCCTGAAGTTTGAGTACCCACAAGCGGTATAAAAAAAACCCGCGAAAAACCGCGAATTAATTCGCGGGTTTAGTCACTTTTTTGGAATGTAGGCTTGTGGGTACTCATTTTAACTGGAATTAAATGTAGATTAATAGTCTGAAGGTCATTTTTAAAAAAAAATTTTTGGACCTCAAAATTAAAAAAAAAAAATAAAAAATTAAAAGAAAAAAAATTTTTAAATTTACCAGACAGCTAAGGGTAAAAAAATGGTATAAAAACTGACGATATTGTAGAGGAATTTCTATAAAAAAAATCCTCAAAGAAAAACTAGACAGTGCGGGTGATACGCAACCGTGTGTAAGGCAGACAAAGAATATTTCTTATCCCAGCGCACGTAACCCTCTAACAAGCCCCGACGAAGTTTGCCAATAAATTGTGAGCGAGAAATATTTGTTTTCAACTTTCCAGAAAAATATTTTTTAATATACAGCAGAAGAATTTGTTAGATTGAAAGGGGGAATTTTGACCCCCCTTAGCTTGTAGCTTGAGCTAGCAGAGAGCCGTAAGACTCAAGTCCGCGGGGGGGCTGTTAATTATAAAGCTTATGAATAATAATAGTCGTGTAGTTGCACCAACATTGTGCTTAAATGTTTGTAAGGTACGCCCCAGTCAGTGTCGCACGCTCCGGGCTACCCTTTTGCTCGGTGTTTACTCCTCACAGTGGGTCGGCCATTACCTGAAGAAAATAATAAGAACAACTTTTTTAGTTGGTTATCTTTATAGGATCTTTTGGTGTTGATAGAAATTTATTTATGAATTTTGCTACTTGCTTTTAGGCTAATGAGAAAGTTCCCACGTGAGGAATAAATATGTTTATTTTTACATCTAAAATTTAGGGTGGCTTCGAGACTTGCAAGAGAAATTTGAGAATTTTTATTGACAGCTGTAATTGATTTTTAATTGTCGGTTTACGGAAACGCTGAAAGTTGTAAGGGTCTATTAAGCTACAGGGGGCAAAAAAAAGGCACGGGAGGGGAGAAGTTAATTGGGGTATTGAATTTTGGGGAAAAATCGGGATTTAGAAGTTTAAAGAAAAAAATTGTGTTATATTTCTGTAGATAAAAGAATTTAAGTTGGGTAAGTGGAAATTTTCAAGGTATCCTTCATTTCGTCCAAAAACCCCAACTTGATTTTCTCAAAAATGGCTTATTCGATTGTTTGCCAAATTTTTATCGTCATTTCTTGCATAAAACCCTTTTAAAAAAACTTAAGTTTATTAAAATCTGACGATTAGTTCCTTAAAAAACTGCAAAAAACGGTATTTTTTAAGATATCCTTCATTTCGTCCAAAAACCCCAACTCAATTTTCTCAAAAATGGCTTATTCGATTGATTGCCAAATTTATATCGTAATTCCTTGTATAAAACCCTTTCAAAAAAACTTTAGTTCATCTAAATCGGACCATTAGTTCCTTTAGAAACTTCAAAAAACGAAATTTTTGAAGATATCCTTCATTTCGTCCAAAAATTCATAGTTAGTTTATTCAAAAATGGCTTTTTTGATTGGTTTTAAACTTAGTATCTCAATTTCTTGCATAAAACCCTTTCAAAAAAACCTTAGTTCATTTAAAAATGACCATTAGTTCCTTAAAAACCTTGAAAAAAAACGGAATTTTTGAAGATATCCTTCATTTCGTCGAAAAACCCAAACTTAATTTTTCCAAAAACCGTCGACTCGATCAATTCCAAACTTTGTATCTCAATTTGTTATATAAAACCCTTTTAAAAAAACTTGGGTTCATTAAAAACTGACCATTAGTTCCTTAAAAAACTTCAAAACATGAAAATATCCAGAAATTAAAAGTTTCTATCCTTGTTTTGCAAACTATATAATCAACAATACCTTCCACCTGGTATAGCACCTGTCTATCTAAAATTCCCTTATTTACCCAAAAATTAGGACATCAAACATGACAATACTCCCCACTTCTTTCGTAATTGTAAAGAGCCATTAAAGCGTTACGACCCCTCCTGCTCTTACATGAGGCGCGAAGTATAAGAGGGCTAACATAGCAATTAGATTATTCATAGACTGCCAAAAAGTTATCCGGTGTTGAGTCTATCAGATCTAGATGTGATGTAGATGTTGACGTTCGAGACAGGGACAGGCGTAGGAGCAGTAGGAGAAATAGGGACATGGCCAGAAATAGGGATGGCATATGCTGTAGCCCAAGAGGATGACACTTGGGGTGGATTATAATCGAGATCTGTTATCTTTGTATTAAAGCGGACGCTCATTCTCGTCCGTGTCTCACACGTGTGTTACGGATTACTCTTCCTGCTCCTGCTCCTGCTCCCTCAGCGCCACTCCGCGATAATAGAGATGTCAACTTCTCGAGGATTTGACGAGCCAACTTCCCGACCAACTAATCTTCTGTCTGTTATTCCTTATTTTTTGGGTAAATTTATAAATAAATTTACAAATTAGTAATCAGGCTGAGTTATGAAAAATTTTTAATATTCTTCTGGACCCTATGAACAACTCGGTGATAACGCAGGACTTTCGGACGAATGGTTCGCCACCCACCCTACGTTATATCGACATCCCCCCGTCGTCCAAAGCTTGTTCCGATCGCTGAGTCGATAATCGCGCTAAAGACCCGGGGGTACGCATGTCCAGATCGGTATCGGATTTAAATACTTTCTGCCACGTGCCGGAAGACTGAAAGTGTGATGATAGATCGGTTTGGGATGAAACTACTTTCGAGATCCGGACGAGTGATTTTTTTATTAGGCGAACTGTTTTTGAGATTATTTTTGATGAAATGAAGGATATCTACGACAATTTGGTTTTTTGCAGTTTTTTAAGGAACTAATCAGTAGATTTGAATCAACTAAAGTTTTTTATAAAGGGTTCCATACAACCAATTGAAATACTAAGTTAGAAATTAATCGAAAAAGCCGATTTTGAGAAAATTAAGTTTGGGTTTTTGGACGAAATGAAGGATATCTTCAAAAATTATGTTTTTTGCAGTTTTTTAAGGAACTAATCGTCCGATTTCGTTGAACTAAAGTTTTTTTAAAAGAGTTTTATGCAATAAATTACCATAAAAATTTGGCAAACAATCGAGAAAGCCATTTTTGAGAAAATTAAGTTTGGGTTTTTGGACGAAATGAAGGATATATTCAAAAATTTCGTTTTTTGCCGTTTTTTAAGGAACTAATGGTCAGATTTAGATGAACTAAAGTTTTTTTAAAAGGGTTTTATGTAAGAAATTACGATATTAATTTGGCAAACAATCGAGCTAATGACTTTTGAGAAAATTAAGTTTGGGTTTTTGGACGAAATGAAGGATACCTTCAAAAGTTTTGTTTTTCGCAGTTTTTTAAGGAACTAATAGTCAGATTTGAATCAATTAAAGATTTTTCTAAAGATTTTTATACAATTAACACAAACACAAAGTTTAAAATTGATCTAGCAAGCCATTTTTTGGAAAAGTTCAATTTTAAAATTTAAGAACTTGTGTTCTTCTTCCAGCTTAGATATTTCTTAAATTTATTTCACAATCTAAAAAATAGAACAAACTCCCTGAAATTCAAATTTTCATATTTTACAAATAAAAAAAATTTTTTTTAACAAACGCAGCTCGGTGAAAAATCTTCTCAGGCTCTAAATACAGTCGCCTGGCGGTGGGAGATAAAACAGGAATGCAATTGAATTCAATATATATATTTTTTATTGTCCTGAGAAACGCCTTCCCCATTGTCAGCTCTTGAGAACGTTTGACTCGGTATAATATGATTGCAGGGTGGATTTCTTGGTAGTTTGGGGTTATTGTGCCCAAGAATTGAGGGGAGGTGCTGCGGCTCCTCAAAAATCGATACCCTAAATTTCAAAATATCCTCCCCTTGCACTTGCCATCACATAAAAAAAAAAAATCTTCAATAATTCCCGAGCAGTATTTTTATAAACCGCAAGTTTAATTCAAGCATGAAAGCTCATTCGCAAAAAAGTATGAAAATATTTCCTCGATTTTAGACGAATAATATTTGTTCCTTTTTAAATAGTTGTTTTTGGTTCTTTTGGTTATTAATAAAACGTTTGAATCCGCTTTTGTGGGGTGCAGGGGGTGGGTAACTGGTGTGTTGGCTGTATACTCTGCCGACAACGGGCCGCGTTGGTGTAGAGAGAGTGTGCGGTTGTGCTTTTACCGAAACCCACGCCTAATTTCGAAATTGCAAAACATTTTCACACTCTCGTGAATACGTACTGGTTAAAGCTTGTTATACAGAAGCCGTGATATGTGTCCGAGAGGATACTCCTCTGTGCTGTATGGTATCATATCCTCTATCTGGATGCGGACGCGGATTAAACCTGTACCAGAGGTTTCATATGCTCAAACGCCGGCAACTAAATTGCGGTGCCAAAAGCATCATTTTAAGCATTCGACTGAAAAAAAATGCAAACCACCTTTTTCTGTTGGATATGTTATTAAATTGATGACGGGAGCTGGAGCTGAAGGTCCTTTGTGCGAATTTTTAACAGAAATTCATTTATCTCTTTTTTGTGTTAGGATTTAAAATAGAAGGATTTTTTTGAAAACTGTTCGTGCAATTTTTTACGTGGATTTGTCTAGTGGCACCTGTTTAAACAAACTTTAGTTTATTCAAATCTGACGATTAGTTCCTTAATGAACTGCAAATAATGAAATTTTTTAAGATATCCTTCATTTCGTCCAAAAACCCAATCTTAATTTTCTCAAAAAATATTAGCTTGATTTTTTCCCAAATTTTTATAGTACTTTCTTGCATAAAACCCTTTTAAAAAAACTTTAGTTGATTGAAATCTGACCATTAGTTCCTTAAAAAATTTCAAAAAATGAAATTTTTTAAGATATCCCTCATTTCGTCCAAAAACCCAAATTTGATTTTCTCAAAAATCATTAGTTTGATTGTTTGCCAAATTTATATCGTAATTTCTTGCATAAAATTCTATTAAAAAAACTTTAGTTCATCAAAATCTGACTATTAGTTCCTGGAATAACTTCAAAAAACGAATTCATTTTGGATATCCTTCATTTCGTCCAAAAACCCAAACTTAATTTGTATAAAACTCTTTACAAAATTCCAACTATTGATTCGCAAAAAAACGGCTGTTTTTTATAATTTTTTAGGTATCCAAAATAATTCCAATCACTGGCATAATGACAACACTAAACAAAATAGATTAGCATAGTTTATGGGTTTTAATTGTCGTTAAAAAAGTCGGCTCGTGAGGTAACGGTGGCGGTCATTAAATTATTCCGCGTTATGAGTCCAGTGACGAAATGGTTGGTAGAAAAAAAGCCTCACCAAAGATTCATTTGTACTATTAAGTCATCCATTGGCAGTAGGATAAATAAAACCTCGAAAACATCTGGTTCGATATGTGTGTCGAATAATGGGACAATGGACGGTCCTTGACTCGGAAGATTCGAAAAAGAAATAATAGAAGAAAGGTGATATCAAAGCTAAGCGCATAAAGCGAATCCCGTCGTCAATAATGTTGATATTCCTCGGTGCATTCGAATGTCAAGTCATCGGGGTGCCTAATATTCTGTTGAAGGAGCTACCAAAGAAAAAATTTAAGGGGAAGGGGTGAAAAAAAAATAAAAACAGAATTAGTTGTCCCGAGGCGTGTCCGGCAGCAACTTTAGCACGAGCTAAAGGATCCTTAACGATTCAGTGAATCCGAAAACGATCCTCAAAAATGTGCGCGAACCCAAACGTGTCGGCAAACAGACCCAGTTGGGTGGATGAATCGTTAAACCACTCGCCTGCTCAATATGTCGGGATAAAATACTTGCTATTTGAATTATTGAATTAAATTCACTCTATAAACCCACAAATCATAATCATAGTTGCTACCTACTAACAGATTGCTACAAAGCCAACCGTGGATTCGTTTGTGAGGAAGACCCGCGGGCGAGGTGTCACTCACTTGCAGGTTCCCAACTGTTTTATAAGAGGACTTTACTCACGGAGGAAGCACGCCAAAAGAGCTATGCTTTAGGAAGAAAATTTACTTTTCTATGGGTATCTTCGAAATTGCTGTTTTCAAGTTTTTTAAGGAACTAATCGTTAATTTTAAATAAATCAAAGTTTTTTTGAAAGGGTTTTAGGCAAGAAATTGAGGTACTAAGTTTGAAATTAATCGAAAAAGCCATTTTTGAGAAAACTAAGTTTGGGTTTTTGCACGAAATGAAGGATATCCGAAAAATTGCGTTTTTTGCAGTTTTTTTAGGAACTAGTGATCAGATTTGGATAAACTAAAGTTTTTTTAAAAGGGTTTTATGCAGCAAATTACGATATAAATTTGGCAAACAATTGAAAAAGCCATTTTTGAGAAAATTAAGTTTGGGTTTTTGGACGAAATGAAGGATATCCTCAAAAATTCCGTTTTTTGCACTTTTTTAAGGAACTAATGGTCCGATTTCGTTGAACTAAAGTTTTTTTAAAAGAGTTTTATGCAATAAATTACCATAAAAATTTGGCAAACAATCGAGAAAGCCATTTTTGAGAAAATTAAGTTTGGGTTTTTGGACGAAATGAAGGATATCTTCAAAAATTTCGTTTTTTGCAGTTTTTTAAGGAACTAATGGTCAGATTTGGATGAACTAAAGTTTTTTAAAAAGGGTTTTATGTAAGAAATTACGATATAAATTTGGCAATCAATCGAAAAAACCATTTTTGAGAAAATTAAGTTTGGGTTTTTGAACGAAATGAAGGATATCTTCAAAAATTAGTTTTATTCATCTACCTTACCAAAATAATTATAAAATAAAAATAATTACTACGATAAAACAGTATTTTGATGAAAAGATGACGATTCGGGATTAATTGAGCCATCTGGGTCTGCAAAGAAAGAGAAAGATAGAAACACACATATATATATAGTGAACTGGAAAGACGTCATGGGGCTTGGATAAAATGTGACTAAAATGTGCCTTAATCGCACGCAGTGTTTACACTTGAGATGATGCTTCCCAATGGAATACGCAGCGTTAATTCAAGTTCATATATATAATATAATATATATAAGGCACTGTATTTCTTAATGCTCAATCGGGAATAATCCAATGAATGGCTGCCGATTATTATCGAGTCGAGCGAGTCCCGTGAATGTGTCCGCCGAACCGTCCGCGGTACACCCGCTGGGTTAACCGACGTCCAACTACTAAATCCCCCGTGAAAAAACCCATTTTTATAATACTAGATGTAATATCTATTGTTATTATTTCATCATTGCTTCCACCGGTGACAATATTTAGCATTCAACATCAGATAATCGCTTTTTTATTGACCTAAAATATTTTATTGTGGTCCATCTTGCCCCCAAGATCATAGACTAAAAGGTTAATTTTCTTTAAAAATATTTTTTTCCTCAAAAAAATCCCATTTAAATTCAAAAAAATCCCAAAAAACACTTCAAAAAATTTTCTAAACCCCATAACTTCTCTTCAAACCCTAAAAAAAATATTTTTTAACCCCTAATCGATAGGAAATTTTCCGCCCTACAACCTCCCACCCTCAATTTCCCCCTAAAAAATTTCCTTCCCCGAAAATATCCCATTTAAACCTTCAACCCTCCTTTTTTTCCGCGATTTCTTCAAAACAAACACACCCTTTCGATCCCTTAGGATATAAATACGTCCCTCGGGATGAATCGTCTCCCTTAGTCCATAACTCGGTCAGTAAGTCCTTTCTTAACCTCTTCAGTTATCCGTAAAGAGGTAAATAAATTTTCTCCTTTTTTCCTTTTGTCACCCATCTGAAGGGTCGGGACGAATTAACGCATCCTTAATCACTTAATAAGGTAATATCCCAGGTATAAATTTTATAAAAATAAATAAGGTTAGAGTCACTCAAGCCTTTGTTTATTTTTTTTTTTTTTTAAATATTCAATCAACCAAACTGAAGTTAATCACTAATTACCAATTATAAATGACTTCAGTTTATATAAATAAAAAAAATGACCGAGGTTGAGCGTGCCAACGAAGAGCCCTTCGACCCTTACCGCAGGGACGCGAATAAAAAGTACCTCTCGTAAGTACCCGCCATTTTTTTTTCCCAAATCACTTTATAAAAAAAATAACTTCATTTTTGTGTTTTTTGAGTCATTCCGCGTTGATTGAATACCCACATGGCCTATCAGCTGTCACTTTTCGTGTGTGTGTCACACACGACGCACATGTGTTACACCAACGGCAACCTAGGCTTATGGGTATTCAAGTAACCGGAAATTTTCCGGAGAGCACAAAAATGTAATTGGTTAATTAATTAGAATTAAGAGGAAGGAAATAATCGAGCTTTTTTCCTCCAGGGACTTTGGCTCGTTCATGAATTTAGTGAAAAGCGCAGCCGGGGCCGGGTTGTTTGCGATGCCATACGCTTTTGCGAGTGTCGGGATGATCTTAGGGGTCGTCGGGACTCTATTAATGGGTGTGTTGATAACCGTAGCTCTGCATTTGTTGATAATAACTCACACCCGACTGTGTACTGAGCAGCGACGGCGGGCCATTCCGTATGACCAACTCGTCGCTGCGACAGTCGCCAGGGGAAGACTTTCTACAAATACTGCTAGGTTGGTCATCGACATCATCATGCTGATCTGCTACATCGGAATTGGCGCGGTCTACATCATTTTTGTTAGTGGAATTATTCAAGATCTTGTGGATCAAGGCAAGACTGTCGGACTTGCGTATTATTCTTTGATTTTATTTCCACTCTTTTTGCTGCTTAATATGATCAGAGGATTGAACGCTATTGCTCCAGTTGCTATTATTGGAAATGTCCTGATTGTTGTTGCTGCTTTCATTGGAGTTGCTTATGCCGTTGTCAAGGCGGAAAGTGACTGGGTTTTTTTTCAGAAGGACTATCAGAAGTATCCCAAGTTTCTGGGGACTGTTTTTTTTGCACTTTCGTCGCCGGCTTTGGTGAGTATTGGGTTTTAAATGGGATTTTTTGGGGAAAATTGGGGATTTTTCTTCAAAATTTTTTACAAACCTTCTAGAGGATTTAATTCTGCGTTAAATAAGGTGTAATAAAGTTGAATTTCATCAAAATTAAGAAGTAAAATGGGTTAGTAAAGAAAAAAAGTAAGTTATTTATCGACATTTTGGAGTTTTGAGGTTTAAATCGTGATGTATTTGGGGTAAATAATTTTTTTTTTTGAAAAATTTTTTAGGAACCTTCTAGAGGATTTAATTCTGCGTAAAATGAGCTATAATAAAGTTAAATTTGACCTAAATTAAGGGGTAAAATGGGTTAGTAAAGCTGAAAAGTACCTTTTTTTTTTTTTAGCAAAAATTGACTCTTTTGGGTTTCAATCGTGATCTATTTGGGGTAAATAAAACTTTTTTAAAAATTTTTTTTCTTACTCTTCTAGAAGACTAAATTCTGCGTAGAATGAGCTATAATAAAGTTAAATTTGACCTAAATTAAGGGGTAAAATGGGTTAGTAAAGCTGAAAAGTACCTTTTTTTAGCAAAAATTGACTCTTTTGGGTTTCAATCGTGATCTATTTGGGGTAAATAAAACTTTTTTAAAAATTTTTTTTCTTGCTCTTCTAGAGAACTAAATTCTACGTAGAATGAGCTATAATAAAGTGAAATTTAATAATACCTAAGGGGTAAAGTGGGTTAGTAAACTTCAAAAGTACCTTTTTTTCTTTAAATTTCACGTTTTTGGGGCTTAAATCGTGATCTATTTACCTTAAATGTAATTTCTTTGAAAAATCTTTAATTAAGCCTTCTAGAGGACTAAATTTCGCGTAAAATGAGCTATAGAAACTTCAAATTAATTGATAATAAAGAGTTAAGCCAGGTCAGTAAACCTAAAAAATCTCCAAATTTCCCAATTTTTCCCGCTAAAATCACAATTTAATCATCTTAAACCTCTTCTAACCCCTTGCTTCTTCTCTCCTATTCTTCATCACCTTCTTATAGGCTCTAGCAATTCAACAAGACATGCAAAGGCCAAGACACTTCACCCGCAAGTGTGGAGTCCTGAACTGGGGTATGGGATTCCTAATTCTGCTACATCTGTCGGTCGGAATCGTCGGCTACGCAAAATACGGAAGCTCAGTAACCGGAAACTTCGTCCAGAATCACCCAATTTTAGATACGGTGACAGGAATTGCCTTGGGGGTCCAAGCTTTGGCGATATTTTTCAGCTACGGATTGCAATGCTACCTTCCAATTTCCATTCTTTACAAGGACTACGCGGTTCGCTCGATTCAGGATAGGTTTTTGAGAGGCACACCTTTTCTCTGGAGCATCTTGATCAGGGTTTCAGTAACGCTACTTACCTGTAAGTCTAATTTCACACTAAATTTAATTTTCCTGCAGCTAAAAAAAAAAATCTATAAGATATCTTTATAGTGCAGAGCATAAGTGATGAAAATAAAAACCTTATAGGTATCCTTGCGGCGTCAATTCCTCAACTGCATGTCTTTGCCAGTTTCGTAGGTGCGCTGTGTGTCGCCACCTTGGGTTTCATTATCCCAGTGATGGTCTACATGATCAGCCACTACGGAGAATTCGGGCGTTTTAAGTGGAAATTGGTGCTGAGCATAGTTTTCTTAATCCTCGGAACTCTCGCGATGATCCTCGGAACGATATCTAGCGTTAAATCTATGATTGATTACCTAAAGGAATAGTTACAATTCCGTTCTTTTGATTTTTAGAGCGAGCGTGCACGTGCGGCTTTAAGATACCGAGTAATTACGCGTGAGGCACGTGCGGCTAAACGCTCGCTAATTGCTACTTCATGGACCAGTTGCTTTTTTTGTAACGCTTTGTGTTAATACTTTTGTAATAAAAGAATAAAAAGTAAAAAAAAAAAAGGAATTACTAATTCCATATAAATAAGGAGAATATTTTCCAGAAAATTTTAAAAAGTTTAAGTCCGAGGTTAGAATTACCTTTTTCACGTAGTTTTGCACCGGCTAGCGCTAAAAATACAATCGAAGACTCTACGTGCGCCCTATTGAGCCCTCTACACGTAAAAGTATTCCTTTCGCCGAAAAAAAATTTTTCTACCCGGAAAAATCGCAGTCAAAATTGACAACTCCGGAAAATAAAAAATTTTCATAAAACTTTTTTTTCAAAACCCTATAACTTTTTTTCTATCAGTCCTAAAAATACCAACCAAAGAGAAAAATGATCCTCAGAGTGTCCTCTTTGATCCTCCGTAAGCCACTAGGCTCTAAAAAATTTTCCTCTTGCTCTTTACAGCGCCCCCATTTTCAACCCTCCCAAATTCGACCTTGGAAAATCTTTTTCCCTCTGTAGTTTTCCAACCGTTCGCTCTAAAAATTCTACCGACCACTCTACTTCCTCCTCTTTTTACCCTCTAGAGCCTCTTGCCCTCATTTTACCCTTAAAAAATTTTCCGACCCCTAAAATCACCCTTAAAACCAAAAAATCCTTGAAATCCTTGAAAATTATCACTTTTTCGGGGATTTTTTCGAAAAAATGAATAATAATTAAAAAAGATAGTTATTCTCAATAATTTAGTGACACGTAACTTAGCGAATAAGAACAAACGAAGCGTGTAAAGTGTCGCGTATAATGAAGCCTCCGTAAATTTAAACGCGACATAATTCCGGGGATGCTTCTCTCTGGGTATATTTCCCCCTTCTCTTTATGCGTGTGCTCAACATGTATATATACCGAGTCGTATAGTCACCCCATGTCTTTAAGGTCGTTTATATTTTTTTACGAGGGTGATAATAATTTTTTTTTTTTGAACAATAAACCGATAAAATATTGTGAGATTAATCTTTTCGCGCGTTAATCCTTTATTGAAAGGCTATTTTTCTCTTCTAACACACCCGGCCCTCTTCGCTGTGTTGAGGACAGCTAACTGAGGGCTGAGAAAGGTAGAACCACCCTCAGATCTTCACGGTAGAGTATTACGAAGCCAGTCTTGCAGAGTCAAGATAAGACCCGCCGGCAGACACTCTAAGAAATGGCTGAGGAGCCTCCGCGTGGCGATGACAACCTACTAAATCTGGCTATATACAACCCTGGTTTAAGACCCCTGGCTAATCTTCCTCGCGCATGAAAATTTTTATGAGAAAATCCCGGAAAAAGTGATCATTTTCAAGGATTTCAAGGATTTTTTGGTTTTAAGGGTGATTTTAGGGGTCGGAAAATTTTTTAGGGGAAAAATGAGGGCAAGAGGCCCTAGAGAGTTCAAAGAGGAGGAAGTAGAGTGGTCGGTAGAATTTTTAGAGCGAGCGGTTGGAAAACTACAGAGGGGAAAAGATTTTCCAAGGTCGAATTTGGGAGGGTTGAAAATGGGGGCGCTGAAAAGAGCAAGAGGAAAATTTTTTAGAGCCTAGTGACTTACGGAGGGTCAAAGAGGACACTCTGAGGATCATTTTTCTCTTTGGTTGGTATTTTTAGGGCTGATAGAAAAAAAGTTATAGGGTTTTGAAAAAAAAGTTTTATGAAAATTTTTTATTTTCCGGAGTTGTCAATTTTGACTGCGATTTTTCCGGGTAGGAAAATTTTTTTTCGGCGAAAGGAATACTTTTACGTGTAGAGGGTTCAATAGGGCGCACGTAGAGTCTTCGATTGTATTTTTAACGCTAGCCGGTGCAAAACTACGTGAAAAAGGTAATTCTAACCTCGGGCTTAAACTTTTTAAAATTTTCCTCATTTACGATCTAATCTTATTAGTCTATAAAAAATAGCATTCTACAAAAAAACTAATTAAATCTAATCTAAAAATAAAAACAAGTCTAGTTATTCGCACCCTATATTTTTCAGAAGCAGCTTCCTAGAGCTGATTGGATGTAGAGTTATCTCGCGTAACGTTACTTCCGGTTGATTGGTCGCTGCGGTCGTCATGACTACCCACCACCCACAAGTTAGTGGCATTGCCACCCTCTACATATGAATTCCCGCCGTACATTTTGCACACATTGATGCCCGCCTGCGAGCTTCGATAACACGCGTCAACATCTGTACTTTCATACCACCCACATATTTATAATTTAATTATTTTTCTTTATAATTAACACACCCAAACTTCTCTAACTTTAAAATTTTTCCATTTATCACACCGATTTGTCGTATAAATTCAATGGCAATTCATCATAACTCGTAACAATTTTCGATAATGCATTTTCACATCATTATCCTACAAAATCGGTTGTAACTACCGATCTGATATAGAAATCGGCACTTTTTTCTCGATAAATCGGTTCTATTAACCACTCTGGACCCTAATGTACCAAAAGATCGGCAGATTTTAAAAATATCGGTATAAGACTTGTAAATTGTGGATCATTTTAAAAACTTCAAACGCCGATAAGTTATAAACTATTGAAAATACAAAAAAAAAGTTTCGAACAAAAGTTGTAGGAAATTTCCTTCTCTACAAAAAAGGTCTCTTACAATTTTCCCCGTAACTAATCATTACCCCAGAATCCGCCTGCAAAACCCTAAAAGTGCTACTGATCCAAAAAAAACCGGTTAGTTACCGATCTGATATAGAAATCGGCACTTTTTTTTCGCCAGATTGTTTACAGTGACCCCTCCGGCCTTGAATCTCCCAAAAGATCGGCACTTTTCAAAAATATCGGTAAGCGACTTGCAGTCGTCACACCTCCCCACTCCAAAGCTTTAAAAACCTCAAAAATCATTCTTTTTTTTCCGAAAAAAATCCTACTACCTCAAAATTATTTCTAAAATGTCCCTATAAACTTTCAAGTGAGACTACACTGTTTATTAAAATGCAAATAAATGACTCACAGTTGATCAGACACGTGAAATAGACACACGCTTACATTAGGCGCCGAATTAATCGCCCGTCAACATTGTATAATCCTATTATATATGACACTTGATGTTTTATGCTAATAATAAACACTTTCCCCCTCTTTAGCCCTTTTTTTTTTATTTTTATTTCAACAGGGATCTCTTTCCTGCCTACCGTGGAAAATCCGTCACTCTTTTATGACGAATATTAACAATTATTATGATTATAACGACAAAATGGTAAAGTAGGCGTAACCATTTATATATGTATAACAATAGTCCAGTTGAGATGTCACTTTTGTTGGGAATTCGTCAGGGACATCTGAACCAAATTCGTCTCGAGTACCGTGGATCATTTAATTTATATAGATTTAGATATATATTACGATTGGGAATATCAATCATTATTTTTTGGAGCAAATTCTGATTTTCGTCTTAAATCTCTTGAATAATGGTAAGATTGATGGTTCTAATTGGAAGTTGGGGTATTAATGGAAAAATATTGATTTAGAAAGGGTTAAAGTTAGATTTAGGGAAATAATATTTTTAGTAGTTCCCGAGAAAATCCCATGAAAATGCGAAGGTATTCTAGAATTGGAATTTTTCGGGTTTTTAAGGAACTACTAAGCAGATTGGCTTCAAATTTGGAAGATACTATCTGTAAGACTCAAGAAAGGAAGTTCCGAAGTTTGGAATTAATCCGACCAGTGGTTTCCGAGAAAATCGGTGGTCAAAAATGGCGGTTTTGAAGGATAGCTTTATGGAATTGGAAGTTTTGAAGGTTTTTAAGCCACTAATTTAAGGATTAGGTTCTAAATTGACCTGGGTCTTCTGATAAACATAAGAAAGAGAGTTCCAAAGTTTGGAAGTGATCCGTTGAGTAGTTTGCTATTTTTATGGGAATCATTTTAGAACTTCAATTTTTGCATTTTTTGGGGATCTAATCATCAGATTGACTTCAAATTTAGTAAATACCTTCTGTTCCACCTAAGAACCAAAGTTCTAGACTTTGAAGTTGATCTATAAAGTAGTTTCATAGAAAACTACTATTAAAAATTCACAATTCGATGAGAATCATTCTAGAACTTCAATTTTCGCATTTTTTTGGGATCGAATCATCAGATCAACTTCAAATTAAGTACATACCTTCTGTTCCACCTAAGAAATAAAGTTCTAGACTTTAGAACCGATCTATAAAGTAGTTTTCTAGAAAACTACAATTAAAAAATCGCAATTTTCATGAGAATCATTCTAGAACTTTAATTTTTGCATTTTCTTGGGATCTTATCATCAGATTAACTTCAAATTCAGTACATACCTTCTGTTCCACCTAAGAATTGTAGTTCTAAACTTTGGAACCGATCTACAAAGTCGTTTCTTAGAAAACTACTATTAAAAATTCACAATTTCAATGACCCCCACGGAAAAAGTATATATTCTGGAATATATTCTGAAATATATTCCAGAATATATCCGAGAATATATTCCGAATATACCCCGTTTTGCCCGAGGAATATATTCCGGAATATATGGGCATGCACTCACTTGTATTCCGTTTTACTCAAAATTTTTCTCTGGTCTATAGTCTGGTCTGTTGTCAGATCTATAGTCTGATCCATCGTATATATACTGAATATATTCAGTTCTATATAATTTTGAAATATATTCTTTGGGCAAAACGGGGTCTATCCGGAATATATTTAGAATATATTCTCGAATATATTCTAGAATATATTTCAGAATATATACTAGAATATATACTTTTTCCGTGGGGGGAGAATCATTCTAGAACTTCAATTTTTTCATTTTTTAACGATCTAATCATCAGATTTACTTCAAATTCAGTATATACCTTCTGTTCGACATAAGAACCAAAGTTCCAAACTTT